CCCCCCCCCCCCCCCCCCCCCCCCCCCCCACAGACATGAAGAAGGACCTCCTGAAGAAATACAACATCTCCGACGACGAGTTCAAATTCATCGAGGAGACCATCATGGAGGCCTTCCCCCACCACGCTGGGCCCCAGTGGAAGTTCGCCGGCGCCTTCTACTTCGCCACGGTCGTCATGGCCATGATCGGTGGGCAACTGTTTATCATATTGATCATATTGATCATATTGATCATATTGATCATATTTATCATATTTTCAGCATGATATTATTATTACGTGATTATTCCGTCATTGTAAAAAAATGTTACATTGTCGTTTTAAGTGCGAAATGAAATTAATTGAAGTTAATATTAATCATACCATGCATTATGCATACTTGCTACTTTTACTACCATAATTATTTGCTCGTCAGCTGAGCCGGATTAGTTATATAAATTGCCAGACTGAAGTTGAATTTCTCTTGAGTTTCGGGAAAGGATATGAAAAACCAGTTCAAAATCTTCTTCGGTTTTTTATTATAATTTTTCTTTGCAGCAGTGGATCCACACCGACGTTACGCGCTGGACGGTAACCATGGCAACCAATTAGTTTCCTAACTGCAGCTGAAAAAAAGCATGAGGTTCATTTGCATATTTGGTGGGATTTTGCAGAAGTACCGAAGAAACGATTAACGACGAAAGGGTTGGGATTAGGGAACTTTCTGGATTAACAGCCTTGCCCTCGAAGTTAGTGGAAAATCTCCGGGAGAATGTCGGCGGCACCCGAGAGGCACCTAGCGGCCGCAATCGTCACTAGCAGCGGAGTCGCAAGTGACGTCACCGGCCTGGCCTGGCTTCACCACTCGCCGATAGAATTAATTTAAAATATGGAATTGGGAGAAAAAGTGAAATTGAAGATGAGGCTCCTCTAGAAGCTCAAAAATTGCTGTTTTTAATTTTAAAAAATAATTATAATTAAATAAATGAGTTAATCCGTATGGATTTTCAGGCTACGGGCATTCGACACCGGCGACGGTCGCCGGGAAGGCATTTTGCATGCTCTACGCCATCGTGGGGATCCCGCTGGGGCTGGTCATGTTCCAGAGCATCGGCGAGCGGCTTAATAAGGTCGCGTCCATTCTCATCAAGAAGCTGAAGACGGTTCTCAGGTGGGTTTTTTTTGCAGTGACCTTGCGTGACCTTGTGTGACCTTGTGTGACCTTGAGGGGGGATTTTTGGTTCTCCGAGGTTCAACAACACGGACGCGACGGAGGTGAACCTGCTGCTGGCGACCGGGGTCCTGTCCTCGCTCATCATCACGGTCGGCGCCGCGATGTTCTCCCAGTACGAGCAGTGGAACTATTTCGACTCCCTGTACTACTGCTACATCACGCTGACCACGATCGGGTTCGGGGACTTTGTCGCGTTGCAGGTGGGCGTCGTCGCGTGGTTGCGACGGAAATTCCTGGATTTACGGATTTATTTCAACTAGCTCCCGAATTCGTATTAGGTTTCGGGTTTAATCATGAGATTCAGTAACATAATATTGACCAATTAAATCCCATGAAAAAATATGATGAGGATCCAAACTTTTGATGGTAAAAGAGGGAGTGTGCAAGAAGTTTTTCGAAGTCACTTGGACCTAAAGATTTCCGACCGCTTTTTCAATTCACGGACGAATAGAATTTTGGAACATTTAATTTCGTTCACGAAAGGGAAACGGTGAGCCGATGTCGGCGTCAGTCGGTCAGCCAATATTTTCGCGAAGCTGGCATTAGGGCATGGCCTCATCATTATTAGCTCAATTCCTTCCATCGATTTCGTTTGGGCCGAGGGGGAAGAGAAAGCGAATCCGGGCTGATCACCTGGCACGAACGGAGGACAACCGAGGGGGAAAAAAATTGGTATTTAAATGGCAACACGGAGAGGGAGGGGGGATATGTTAGCAAAAAAATGAAGAGTCGCGGATGAAGTAGTCTTGAAGAAGTCATTGGACTTACTCAGGATATGTGCAAGTGTTGGATGGCCTTCGTTCGGCAGCAGTTCTTATTTGTGGCTTGTTTCACGATTGGCCTTGACCTTCGTTGACCCGAGTCGCGTTTCCTTTTTCAGTCCGGGAAGGCCCTGCAAGAGAAGCCGGGGTACGTGGCGATGAGCCTGGTCTTCATCCTGTTCGGCCTGGCCGTGGTGGCAGCCAGCATGAACCTCCTCGTCCTGCGCTTCATGATGCTCAACATGGAAGACACGAAGCGGGACGAGGAGATGTTCCCCGCCTCGCAGCACGTCGTCACCCTCGAGGAGGAGCTGGGCATGAAGCGCCTCTCGTACTCCACGGCGCTCGGAAGCATCTACGACGACCAGCCGTCCGTCTGCTCTTGCACGTGCTACGGGAGGCACTCGCACAAGGACGCGTTCCAGTTGGACGAGAGGAAGGCGGTCTACCAGTCGACGGTGTCTGTGAGCACCACGGACGTTCTCGACGATCATTCGTTCTTTCCTTCCAAGGACACGGACATTTATGCGACCTTTGATGATCCGTATGCGTATTACGCCATCAAAAGAGCATCCATTTGAGTAAACCGGGAATTCCGGTTAAGATTTTATTTCTTGGAGAATAGATCCGTCTCTTGTGATTAGAATGATCTTCGGTGTTCAATTTGGCGACGCCGTTTTTTCTCCTTCTCCTTTCGAATCTACGGATGAGCGAGACTTCTCATCACTCTATCGAGACTTGGGAGAAATTTTTTTTTCTCTTATTCTTCTCGTCGCCGAGAAGTATTCCAGTCCCCGTCCTTGCCCGAGGTTAAGGGAAACCCGGGAATAGGGAAGGGGGATTCCCGCCCACAGACTCACTTCATCGAACTCGCCTTCCACACACGAATAAAGGACCCAAGTTCCCGTTGGGTCTCCCAACTTTGCTCCCCGCCCAAGGTCAGCGTCTCCGTGGAGGGGACTTAAGTTAATTAGGACTTAATTAGGACTCCTGCGGGCATTTCCCCCACCCTTTCATGTCTTCCCCCAATGACTCGGAGTCTCCCGGCGCCGTCTCCCATCATCCCTTGATCATTTCTGTTGAATTGCAAGGGATGAAGTGGTTCCCAGAGACCCTCCACCATTCACCTTGTGCCTCCATGCCTCCCCACGAGATTCCCCCGGTTTTGTAAACAAAATGAACGTGATTAGACATGGGACTGGGGATTTTATTGGGAAAGGGGAGCCATCCCCCCTTTCTCACGTCTAAATATTCGCAATGGGAGAGCTGTTTCCCTGTTTCGGGGTTCCTACCACCCAAGACGAGGATGGTGTCAGGATCCAACACGACCGAAGCCGCGTCCACTCTCTTCTGAATCATCGGAGGGAGTTTCATGCAGGTATCACTGCGGAGATCGAGTTGGCTTTGTGGGGATTTCTTTCGCCTCCCAAGAGAAATAGGGAATTCCGATTCCCCAACCCCGTCGTCCTCCCGACGGTGAAAGTCGGAGTTTGTGGTCCCATCCGTGAGGGGCCGAACGGGGATCCTTCCCCTCCAGATGAAGAAACCGGACTTCTCTCCCTGCTCCATGGATCAACATCGAGGAGAGGGCGAGGAATACGTCCGATGAGGAATAAGCTTCCTGGACCCAGAGAATGCTCTTATTCTTATTCTTATTCTTATTCTTATTCTTATTCTTATTCTTATTCTTATTCTTATTCTTATTCTTATTCTTATTCTTATTCTTATTCTTATTCTTAT